GCTGAACATTAGGACCTTATCCCATCTTTCAACTCCAGCAGCGTTTTGTGCTTTGCCACCAAGGCAGCCAGCTTGCCTGCACGCTTGGTGCAAGCGCCCGATGAACTGCAGGCTGCTGGCTCGTCCATTCGGTGCCTTAAACCTAGGACATGTTTTCCGAGTTCTCCTTTTATTGGTTTTGGTGGGTTGATTTAGCTTTGATTTTGTTTTGCCGCTCTGTCCTTCCGAGTTGGTCTTTCCTGTTGCAAAAAGTGGTCTGTGCGGCTGCACCGAGGCAGGCGGCTGCTTCCCCAGCCCGGCGGTGGGCTCCCTGCCTGCCCCTGTGCTTGACAGGGAAACCATCTGATGGGCCAGCGGTCTCGCTTCCCTGCTGGAGGTTGAATTCTATGGCCGAGACAGGGTAGGATGTAAAGTGGAGATGATGGCACCCGCAGGCAGGTGCGTGCTGGGGAGAAATCCCCAAACTGAGGGCGCGGGCCATCTTAGTCAAAAGAAGATTTTTCTGGATTCTTGTAGCAATTACCTGTTGATCGCTACGTTCCTAGGTGGGCTTTTGATGCAAACCAGAAAGAATATCATTTATTTTACGGTTCCCAGTCAGTTCTCAGGCTCTGTTTTCTCTGGCTTTTCCTTATATGCATATCGTAAAGACAATTCTGAACAAAGTCCGAGTTAGAGAGCAAAGCTGTGCGTAGCGATACTGTATTAATATTTGCAGACTTGTCTGATAACTACTGCCTGTTGAATCGAGTTTTGTAACCATTGTCAAGAAAAGGGCATCTATTCACTGAATAATAATTTAAATATCTAACTTTATCACGGATTTATAGATGCGTATAAAATGCTTAATGTATGTGTATGCACTAGTAATGATATTTCTTATACACTGGATTTAATTTTTCTTGTTCATGAGTCATAACTGGTTGCATTAACAGAGATGTGCCACTTTACCAGTTAATTGAGAGGAAAGACATTTAGTCAGTTATAATTTGCCCGTCACGTACGTTTTGTTTCTCTTCCATACAGCATCAATTTCCCTGGAAACACATACGAAAATATGAGCACAAACTTGAGACTCACAGAGTGTGATGTCTCTTCTCTGTCTGCTTACGGAGACTACATCGTACAGGTCAGAGCGGAGTCAGAAAATAACCATTCAGACTGGGTGACCGTCAGATTTAAACCAATGGATGACAGTAAGCCTTTTGCTAATCTTCCACAAAAGATATTGCCTGCTATTAATGCACCTTTACAATTTGGCTCCATAAGAAAAGCAAGAGCATGCAGATCATTTTTAAATTTAATTACGTGGAACTATAAAGTCTTGGTTGTAACACTTCCATTTTTTGAAGGCAGAAGTTGCTGTCAGAAAGCATAGTAGGTTCACTATTACAGTAGGTGTTAGTATTGGTACTTGAAACATCTTTTGAGGGTTTGTTTGTTTTTTTTTTTTTTTCCCCCCCTTAAAATAAGGCTTCATTTATATTTTTCAGTCTGGGAGAGCTTCTCTTCAAGGATTCAGACTTCCTGTGTATCTAAATAAGCTCAATTACTTTCTTCTTCATTGCTGTGTCAGGCAAAAAGCTTTCTTTTGGGTTCTTTTTTAATAAAAAAAAAAATCACAGTGAAAGTTTAATTTTTGGTCAAGAAATCTTCACTGCACACTATTGCCATTCTCTTAGTGAAGCTTGACAGTCTTTTGTGAGATGATTTAGACATTGCCTTGCATTAGAATGCCCAACAGAGATGTTAATCATGTTGCTGTCACCTGAGCTTGGGAATGAGGGAGTGGTTTTTACCAATGAGTGTCCTTTATTTTGCACTTCTTACACCACTCATAAGCAAAAATGACATTATTTTAGATTATGTAGTTAATGTTACCCAAGGCTTTTTTCTCCTCACAGCTGTTAATACAAAACCATGCAGGAAGCTTCTGTTACACCTCATCTTTGAGAAAAAAAAACTTTTAAAAATCTTTTTCTTTCTTGTTCTGCCTTCATTTGCTTGAATTTCATCATCCTGTTCCTTGGATTTCAGAGTGTAATTTTACAGTTTACAGCTTTGTTTTTCAAAATGCTTTTATTGGTTATCTCTCTCCAAAAGCATAATGTTGATATAATTTAATCTGCGTAGAACAGAAGCAGTGAAACATAGCTCAAAAAAATACCCAAAATCAAAAAAACCACAACATTGCAAGCAAGTATAAATTTCGGCCAAAAGAAAGCGTAATACAAAAAGTATGGATGGATTTTCAGAGCAGAGAGCAAACGTGTAAATCATTAACAGAGTTGTAGTTTGACATATATTTGGAAGAGTATGTGGTCTTCAGAGCAGGCTTCGCTTTGGAAAGGCAGCTTATTCCTGAACTGAGAAAATCTGGATGTAAAACTACCTGGAAAGAAAGACCTGGGAGTACTGGCCAACTGGCCAAATCTCTGAGGAGGACGTGAGGATTTTTAATGTTGTCATAGCTGATCTAGCAGGGCATCATGATAAAAATATCTGGTGTTCCTTTCTGTGTTATTATTTCTGCTAGTGCTTTTGTAAGAAATTCCGTTCTGTGTTGTAGGAATTGCCTAAGAAAATCGGAGTCACCAAAACCATCCTCACATTATTTTTTGCGAGTTCAACAACATATTCATGAGCATTATATGAAGGCATGGTCCAACAAGTAGATGTTTTTTTTTTTTTTTTAATTATTTTTAATTAAAGAAACACATATTTCTAGAGGAATGTAAAACTGTATATTGAGCTCTTCCTTTCTTAGACACTTGATAGTGTGGCTGTAGCCAGGCAGAACTTCAGTAGAGGCAGCCAAGGCAGAGTCGTTTGTTGGAATTACAACAGACTTTAATGGAGAGTTCACTGCACACACAACGCAGTTGATAACTAAGCTACTTATGAATTAATTTAGGTAGTGGCACAAAAACATAATAAGGACAAGCCATTTTCAAAATACGAGAATTTAATATTCAGTCTAAGGAGCTCGGTCTTTAAGACGTGCAGAAATAATTCAAATGTTTCATTTTTTCAAAGTGATCACAGTGAAAGAAACATTAAAACACTTCACTAGAGGGTCTCCTCAGAAAAGACAGATGTTGCAACAGCTTGGCCCAGAAAGAGAAGTGAGTAATAACCTATAGAAATAGTCCTTCCTCTCCCAGGAGTCACCACAGGTGGCAAAAGAGAACCGAGTTAACTCAGTGTATGGGAAAAGTAGTCTGCAAAAATATCTGTTATTTAACTGCAAAAATAAATCCCTTTCAAGACCGGTTCTATAAGGAAAGGATTTATTTATGCCTGACCCATGAAAGGAAATTACTTTCTTCTAATAGATAAAATTATTTAAAGCATGAATTGTCATTGTAAAAATGTCAAATTGAAAAGAACGTGAAACTGAATTCCGTTCTTTCTTCTCTTCCACCATTCTAATATGTAGCAGTCATTGGGCCACCTGATGTAAAAGTGAAGTCTGAGTCTGGGTCCCTGCATGTGGATTTCATAGGCCCTTTTGCTGAACATGAACGTGACAAGTGGCCTCTAAAGCAATATTACGGCTCGTGGAAGTACAGAATACTGTACCGGAAGAAAGGCAGCAATACAAAGGTAACTTGGGCTTCCTGCATGTTGTGACTCCGTGACTTTGATAAATGCTTTTCTTGGTAAAATACCGTACTGATGAAGCTCTGAAAGCTAACAGAACTGAAGTAAAAATGTCTCTCTACTAATTACAGTGTAATAAGGTCTAGTCACAACAACTGGTATTCAGAGCAAATGGCAGATAGCTGTGTAGTTAAACAATAGCATGGATATAATTTGCTCTTTTCGTAATTAAAAATAACTGCTAGGTTATAAGTGTTTATTCCCTCAGTTTAGTGATGATTTATTTGTGATGTAGTCTGCCCCACCAAATCTCTGTATTTCACATATACAAGCAAGGGTAAATTAGAAGCTGTAACATCAGCAGTATCTGTGATCATGGCAATAAGCTGACTTGAATTCAAATTTCATGTCATTCAAGTATTTGTGCTCTTCATGAGACTCTGGGCTTTGAATACCAGCATGACTGGGGCCTTACGTTAACTGTGGTCACCTTCACCTCTTCAATTTCTATCAGTTGTAATTCACTTTCTTCCTCTCATGGACAGCCTCTTCCACAGACAGATCTGTTACTCAGCTCAAAATGCATGGCGAAAGATCATAAATAATATATTAATTATAGGGTCATGAGTTCTATTACAGAAAAAAGGAAGCTCTTTACTGGAAGGTATCAGTCACAGTATAATTAGTGCTTTGTACATCAGTACAATTTTCATATAATAGGACTCTACTACGTATAATTCTGATTTGTATTTGTTACCTTGCAAAATTCTTTGGCATTCAGTTCCAGAGAATGAGGGATCATCATTTCGCAAAAACCAGACTGGTTTTCAATTCCTAAACTAAAAGAAATTATGGTATTTGTATCAGAACTAGTGTGGCCAGCAGGACCAGGGAAGTGATCGTCCCCCTGTACTTGGCACTGGTGAGGCCGCACCTCGAGTACTGTGTTCAGTTTTGGGCCCCTCACCACAAGAAGGACATCGAGGCGCTGGAGCGCGTCCAGAGGAGGGCAACGAAGTTGGTGATGGGCCTAGAGCACAAGTCTTATGAGGAGCGGCTGAGGGAGCTGGGGTTGTTTAGTCTGAAGAAGAGGAGGCTGAGGGGAGACTTTATTGCTCTCTACAACTACCTGAAAGGAGGTTGTAGCGAGGTGGGGGTCGGTCTCTTCTCCCAAGTAACAAGCGATAGGACGAGAGGAAACAGCCTCAAGTTGCGCCGGGGGAGGTTTAGGTTGGATATGAGGAAAAACATCTTCACTGAAAGGGTGGTCAGTCACTGGCACAGGCTGCCCAGGGAAGTGGTTGAGTCTCCATCCCTGGAGGTATTTAAAAGATGGGTAGATGAGGTGCTCGAGGATATGGTTTAGTGGTGGACTTGGCAGTGCTAGGTTAACAGTTGGACTCGATGATCTTAAGGGTCTTTTCCAACCTAAACGATTGATTCTAGGATTTTATAAATTTCCATAGGGATCAAAGAAGAAAAAGGCATAGACTACATAACTTAACAGGTTGTTTTTTGAAGTGGATGTTTGCTCAAAATGTTGAAACTAGCTGTAGAGTCTTCTCACGCTGAGAAGGAATCTGTTACTAGGTAATGGGGCTTGTTGTAGGGATTTCTATACTCTGCAGGGACTGTATAGTTACAGGGACATAACCAATTATGCCTCTAAACAGCAAGTTGCATCTGCTGTCAGTCACCTAATAGCTTCCACAGGCCTTTTTCTTTCTCTGTCTTTTACTTTCTTTTGTCTAGATCATCCATCCTATTTGCTCCATCTCAAATTAAATTATGTTAGTCTGTGACGGCACTCTTAGTTGATCTCATTTGCTTAGGCAATTGTTTCTCTCTGCAAGCAGATCTCATTTATCACATCTCTGTAGGCCTCTGTAGCCTAAAACGTCATTAATGCTGCTAAAAGCAGCCAGAAAGTCAGTGGTTTGAGTGGTTTCACAGTCTAACTACAGGTGAAATCAATGTAGAGTTACCAGTTATATGACACAGACAGGGCATTTCATTCTGTCTTTAAAAGCCTTATTCACATTCCAGCTATAACTAATTTGTCCTACTAAATATAATTTTAATTGCTCAGCTAGTCCATTCACTGGACTCGTGCTTTTCAAATTTTTTGTATTCTCCTCTGTTATTAGGTAACTCACATAGATACTAAACATAACTCTGAAATATTATCTCAGTTGGAGCCGTGGACCACATATTGTATTCAAGTGCAAGCAGTTATCCCCGAGTGGAACAAAACAGGGGAACTGAGCGGCGAGCTTTGTGAGCAGACAACCCACAACGGTAATATCTGGTGCATCGCAATGGGACACGTGCTGTAGGGGACTAGGAAATGTGCAAAGCCATTCGAAATGAAAATCGGTGTAACGTGTAAACCTTCCAAAAATGGATGTGTTTGTTACTTAAGTATTGCTTGGTGGAAGTGAAAACTACAAGCAATGTAGCACTGATGGCATGATGCTTTACTTTGCTGCAGAGGCCTGATAATCAGAGTTACATGGAGCATAGGCTCTTCACTGGTCACACTGCGTGCCTGAATTTCTTTTACCGTTAGCTGTATACGTTATCCTGGGAAAGCCTTTGTTCCGTGTATCTGTAACTGAGAAGGCAATTGGACCCTGTGTTGCAGTCTGCTTCATCTGTGGCGATATTGCCAGTGTCTGTCATGAGGCTAGGCCATGATGCTCTTTCTCTGTGACACACAGCAGTTATTAATAATATAAATAATTTTGTCTCGGTGCTTTCCTTTTCATTTTGAAGGCAGTTAAGTACCAAAAGTGCTTTCCTTTCCAGCCGTGCTACCTTAGCTGCTGTCTGTGGAGCCCAGCAATAACCACCACGTAGTCTGACCCTGTTATCAGAGTCCTTAGTTAAAAGAAAGAATAGAGTCCTAGAAAGTGTCTTTTTCACAGGCATAATGTGTATTTCAAGTAACTTACACCCTTGGATAACTTGTGGAAAGTTGATGAGGAAGCCATCTGGGGGAAGCCTGAGGAAGCTGCTGCGTTAACCTGTTTCTCACATGTTTTTCCTCATAAAAGGTTTCCTCATATATTTTTTCCACATGTATATTATCTGCATGCACTGTAGTTGAATTGCAGGTGGGTTTTGGTGGTGGTGTTGCTTGTTAGTTCGTGGCTAGAACAGTGCTTAGCAAGCGTAGGTTGGTTTAAAACATTCATACAGTGATGTATGGGTACATCTTCATTCCCATTTCCTGTTGTGAAATCCCCGTGCATGATGTAATTTTTTTAAAGGCTCCATAGTTTAGAATTTTACAGACTTTTTCCCTTGTTGTCTTTACTTTGCTGACATTTTTACAGATTTCTTTAAAAGAGAGTGGAAGCCTATACTCTGGTAGTGTTATGTGTCAGCTCCTACACTCCTGAAACACCAAAGAGTGTAGAATAGCTTTTTACATGATATCACCTTATGGATGGTTCTGTTCGTCTTTTTTCCTTTAGTCATTTGCCTAGTATTGCATGTAGAATCACCAGTATGTGTAACTGTAAATGTCTAAATATGATGGCTTATAAATATGTAATATATAATAAATATATATAAATAAAGCTTTATTGACAACTTCCTCAGCCTATTCAGACTAAAAATTTAAGAGCTAAGCGGTATTTTGCATCTGGAAACAAAGACTTATGTTTGCAGTTACAATTTTGTAATAGTTTGTTGGTTTTTTTTTTTTTTTAATTCCGTAGAGGAAGTGATAATATGAAAGAATATATTCAGAAATTAATAATCACAGTTTAAATTTCTTTTTTTTTTTTCTTGTCTCTTGCAGGTGTAACTCCTGTGTGGGTAATTGTGACCATCCTCATAGGATCAATGTTGGTTGTTGTAATATCCGTTCCTGTTTGTTTCTTTTCCTTTTTGTATCTATATCGACTCACCAAACATGTTTTCTGCCCTTCATATATTTTCCCACAACACTTGAAAGAGGTTTGTTTTCTACCTAGCACAATTAAAATCAGCCTTTTCAGCAGAACCGCCTGCCTTTCAAAGGCTCTCGGTGCCCAAACCTTTAGAGCTTCTTTTATTTTGCCTTCTTCCGTTTGCACCTGATTGTTAGTCATCTGTAAAGCACAGACTGTTCTGAGGGGGTTTTAGACTGTAAGGAACAACGCTTGTTATCTGTCGTCATATACTTGTTGTGGATGGTAAAACTCGCTCTTCTGCCAAACATAAAAAGCTGTTCAAATAAGTGTAAATGATGAAGTCGTGAACTTTGGAAAAAGCTGACAAAGGAACCTGCTTTTCAGTGTGAGAAAGGTAGTGGAAGTTAGTTTGTTTAGTATTTAAATTCTGGCATTAGAAGGTCATAAATTTTGCGTGATTGTTACCTCAGTTTTTTCATCCTGTTCTGTGGCGCTGCATAGACATAAATAAGAAGCAGTGAAGTTTGACTTCCTTTTGCGGTATGCTGATGTATAATAAACTCTAAAATACTGTCATTCTGAATTGTTCTGCACAGAATGGTCCAAAATATTTAAATACTTGGCATAGTCTTTTAATCCTAAAGCAACTGCCAAATTTGTAATATGAAGCTTTATATGGCTTAGAAACAGGATGTTTTCTTCTGTTTTAAAGTGAGGGAATAACAGGTGTTAACCTTCAGTTCCCCCTTATAGATAGCGAACAACTGAGTTGTCTCCAGTATCTCATTTTAGACTTAAAGTTGCACATCTGTTCTCCTGAAACAAAGTTCTTTGGCAAATATAATAACGAGTTTTAACTCAAGTGAGGAATGTAGTGAAATCTGAAAACTCAAGATGAAATGAGAGCACTGAATGTTAGCCATTACTGTTGGGGAATACCCCTGACCCTGTTACCCATAGAGCAACTTAAAAGGGCTGTATCAGAACCTCCTCCAAGAAACAAGGCTATACAGAGCTTTACGTATGCTAAAGTCAGCAACCTATACTCCTCTGAGTTTCCTGCAGTTTCTCTGGGTCTTTCATTTTGACTCATTTAGAGTTCAGCGGACTAAGGCTTTGCAGCTGACTCGGCAATTGTCGCGTGCTTTAAGTTGAGCACATGCTCAGCGCACAGTCGTTTGCTGAACCTGGAGCTTGGCTGTTGGGAAGGTGGCATTGCTCTGATCAGTACAGGATATGGTCAAATTTCATTTTGCTCACAGGTTTCTCACAAGAAAGGGGGAATATTCATTTTGTGCTAGTAGGTTGTGGTGGTTAATCAGTAATCAAAGGTCAGTCGTGCTTACCTAAAATGATGATTATCAAAGGCAGTGGCTTCACTACATGAACATTTGAGCTTGCAGGTTACTGATAGAACATTGCAAATCACAGTTTGCTAGAAAAGGTCTAACAGTAGCAATATTAGTATTTATTTTTGTAATTACAGCGAACAGGACTCCTGATAGAGCAGCTTGTTTCTTATGTAAAATGCACTAAAGTAATAGAAAGGGGTCAGGTCAGAAGAACAAAATGCAGTTGTACTCCTCCAGCCACTACCAATAAAATGAACTGCCACTTCAGCTGCCAGAATGAGTGTTTGACATGTCATTACTGTGTTGAGTAGGTGTGCTGTTCTCGTGTTGACATTCAAAATACAGTCATGACACCCTGCGAAGTCCATGTTGATTTTTGAGGCCGGTTCCATCTTATTAATAGAACAGGGAGTGGGAGGAAGTTGTGATATTTCGGTACTCAAATTAAGTCATTGTTCTCACTGAACTGCAGAGCCCCGCCAATCTCCCTCCCTCTCCTTTGCTTGACTAGATGGTTATGGTTTATGTTGACATTTAAAGCATCACTATTTGCTGTCTGAGCAGACAGGTCTCTGAGATGGCAGGAACAATTCACATCTTTTGGAGCTGTTTGACGAATCTCTCTGTGAACTCCTTCACCTACAGTCAAGTCACTGGTTTTAGTTTTTGTTTCCAAACAAAACCTAGGTATTTTATTTTTTTTAAGGAAGTTTATATTCCAAAGAAGTCACTAACCCCTGGGGTATCTTCTTCCAAATAAAGGCACCTCTGACTTGCTTCCAAGCCTTACACAGGACGTTAAAGCGAGCAGAGAGGTTATTACATTGTCGCCACTCTGGGACTTCTAAGGATTGAGAAAGCCAACTGATGTGTGGAAAACAATATAAAGCGTGTTTCCAGGCAAACAGGATGGTATGGCTGGGGGGGGGGAGATTTTTTTTTTTTTTTTTCTCTCCGCTTTTTTGTTCGACTC